ATATTATTATGTAATTATATATTGTAAGGTATAAGAGTTTGAAATCTAAAAAAAATTCCTGATATAAACATCATTTAATCAATAGTATTAATAATAGTCAGGTATATTATAGTATAGTTCGAGTTTTAAGATAACGTTAACCTAAATTGAATTTATTATAATTTATGTTTGAGTTGGAATTGCACATTTTAATATATTACTATCTATTTTAATCGTATGGATTAAATAAATGCGTAAGTTAAATTCATACAAACTATATTTAAAAAAATAGAACCATCATGAGACACCTGGCAGAAGTGAAACATTGAAATTATTTTGTATAGCAAATGTGCATGAAAATGGCATAGACAAAACCGACAAAATATTTCTGATTTTTTTAAACAACAATATTTTTATTTTAAAGGTTTATCAGATGTTCTACATAAAAAAAAAAAATAGAAAAACAGTTTTTATACAACGGTCAACGATCGATCTGAGTTTAACAAATGAAGAATATTGAAAGACAACAAAACAACATAATGTTGTGGTTAATGATTAGTTATCGTATAAATATAAAATAATAATGTTTTTAGTAGCGTTTTAATAAAATATTGAATGTGTGAATATTAAAAGAAGTCAATAGGTAATTATGTACACATATATGTAAGAACAATAAAATTCAAATAAAGTATTTTTATGATGTTGTTTTTTTGTTCTACGTTATGTAGGAAAGAGTTTTAGGCTCCAATTAAGCTAATTAAGTGGCTAGGAAATTAAATACGATTTGTTTTATTTTTATTATGTAATGAAAATCATACGGTTCGACTCAGAAAATAATTAAGGCAAGGTTGCATCTAGAATATTAGAATAGAAAAAAATCTAACGGTGATAAAATAATATGTAGAATTCCTCATACAGTATATATTTTCTTACATTCAAAATTATATTCAATCAAACAGTTAAATTAAACCTACATTTATTTTTAAAAAAAATGTAWTAGTTTTTTAACATCTATTTCTTGTTCATATGTTCATCATGAATTCATGAATAATCATAAAATAATAAAACAAAATATAAACATCATCAATGTATTTCTATTTTAAAGATCAATTTTCTTATGCTATAATAATATATAGTTATTAGTATTTATTTTTATCAATGCAAAATTTTTGTAATCTCCCTCTCCTCCAATTCACGAGAATTCGAAGCATTAACCAAAAAAATAAATAAATGATAAAGATAATAATTACACGCATGTTATTGTAGAAAATTAAATTTTTGTAGTCCATTTGTCTTAATATTTTGCGTCTTTACATATTTTTTCCTCTTTATTGAGCATTAAAAATATTTTATCTACGATTGTTAGCTACTCTTGTATTTATATTAAGATTGTTTTTTACCAACACATTATAAACTTTCCTAATTCATCTATAGATACTATAACCTTGTAGTTATAACTTAAAACAGTAAATTACATTATAGAATTATCTGTTATAATTAATCCTAAAGCCATCAAAATTACATATTGTATATATTGATTACAGATTGTATATTTTATCTTTTCTAAAATAAAAAAAAATTAATGTTAAGTTTTAAATTACGTATTATTATATTATTTTCACTCAAATGTTTTGTTAATGGATTTATTGTCCTAGACATAATTAATCAAATCTTAGACGCATTTATTGCATTCGTTGTCTGATCGRCACACAAAGAAATTTATAAATCCTGTGCTAATAATTAAATCAAAGTAGACATGCATACTTAACTGATGAGTACATCGAATTCGATGAGTCACAAATATTGTCACTCTTCATTGTCTGGTGTGCGTATATTATAATATACAATTAACTGTGTAAAATCATATCAATCTTTTTACCTATATTTAATCAATACTATAATTTATACTATTAATATTTTATTATGATATTTAAAAAAAATATAGTCTATAGACTTAAAGTAGTAATATAATAAAAAAAAAAACTAACTAAAAAATAAATAAACTAAAGAAAATCATACTCGTATGTACGTTTGAATGACTCGAATTTATAAAAACATTCAGATTAAATTTAAAAAAGTCACATTTTAGTAATAATTTAATATAATGTATAAGGTAATATTTTCAATTATGTCCCACGAGCTCGTATGATAGAAAATTGTGTACAACAATACATAACATAGATAGCAATAAATATTTATATAATAATAATAATAACAATTAATATACCGTCTTTTTTTTTATGAGATTATAAACGATGAATATTACATGGTCATCAAATATCGTAATAACACAAAGATGACATATTCACAGACATATTATTATTGTTAATATACTATACATGGAGATAATATAGCTGCACAATAGGCCAGTGAATTGATCAGTCATTTCTGGATACTCTCGCCTAAAAATTACAAATTATAATTTTTGTTTCAAACCTATTTATTATTGTCAAATCGTACTATTATTTCAACATTCACCAAAAGCAATTTATCATTTAAAATACCAATACTGAAATAC